TAATATATAATACAATTATTACCAGATCCCTAACTCTCCTGATCCACCGAGCTATGGTGCTTATGTTGAAGTGCATGCTGCTAACATCAACAGCTTGAGTGCTTAGGCTAGCAACCAGGAGTTCTGGTCCAGGGATCAGGCCATGGAAATGATGACCCCTGGAACAATTAACAGATAGTCAACAGGGTACGACATATCAGTACATCTATGAAGGGAGCTGGGCAAAGCGTATTATTAAGAATAAATTATAGAGGGCCAGATGAAGAGCAGTGTGATGTAATTTATGTATATCAGGAGAGTATCTTGGCTATTATGCTCTATACAGTGGAACACCATTTCTTTAAATCTGATTTTTGACACTCTTGAAATCTTGGTTTAGTACTATGTACTAGGAAATGATTTGTTTGCTTATTTCGGCTGAAATCCAATATCTTGGATCAGCATGTAGTCGACCTAAGCCCTCATCACCCACCCACCATTTGGCAATAGCTTTGGTAGACTTATATGGGCTATGAGGAAGGGAAGGGCATGTATGTAGTTCTTATTTCAGCTGCTGACTCAGGAAAGAACCTCCTCAATTGCCCCATGCTGCCCCTTGACCACCTATGCACTGACTCACACTTAAACTGATAACATTTTATATCAATTTATCCATAAATCTTGTATATCAACCATTGCTATGTCTTCTCAGAATCATGTCATCACCATTTGTAGGTCCTTCTGGTAAGAATGACAAGCATAAAAAATTCAGGGAACAACCTGATAACTCAGAAAATAGTGGAAGTTGAAATGCTGTTCTTGAGCAAAGCTAAGTAAATTAAGCTATAAATTTTTTTTATTGTGTATGATATAAAGCCAAGAGAAAAAATTACTGAGCATTTTACCAATAGTGGTTGCATTAAGGCCATTTTCTGGATCTTCCTGATGCATCAGCAGCACCTTGTATTGTTAGTGAAGACTCAGATGGTGACTTGAACATAGGTAAAGGTAATATTTTTGTCTCAGGTCTATTTAATCAGCCCTACTGCATTATGTTTCTTCATTCAACATGATGCAAATACAGTGGTACCTTGACTTACGAGTTTAATCCGTTCCGTGACCTAGCTTGTAACTCAATTTGCTCGTATATCAAATCAATTTTCCTCACTGAAATTAACTGCAATGCCATTAATCCATTCCAGCAGAATTCCTTGCTCTCAGGAGGCAGAAAATACTTCAATATAATGCTAATATCAACTCTACAGCTTATTTATCCATTGCAACTGATCTAATATGATATAATAAACAATATAAATGACATATAAACATGATATATACTCTAGAATGAATAAAATATGTCATTATGTGACGAGTGGTGGCGGCCACTCCCGATGCAAAAATAATCATCACTGATTGTATCTTCCCATGCTTCCCCTTCTGAAATCTTATTGTAAGAGAAAACAGAGTGTTTGTGAGGCTAACTGCACTAGATCACTAATTTCATAAGGAAAGCACTGAAACAATGTATTTATAAATAAAAAATATTGTATAAAAACATAATAAAACATAACAGAGAATATAAAGAAATAAACTGGTTTTATAAAGCGTATGTACAGTATTTACCTTGGAGAACAGAGGCTGGCAGAGATGGAGGGTGGAAAAGATAGGCAGAGGAGATTAGAGGAGCTCATTTCGTTTCGTGCTTTTTCTATCGCTTAACTTACCTGCTACACTCTTAATGCTACACTTTATCACTGAACTTAATTGCTACAAGTTGTTTTTTTGTTTTTTTTCATTTCACTGGAGGAGTTCGCTTCATTTCGTGCTTTTTCTATCGATTAACTTACTTGCTACAGCTTAGAAATTATTGTAATTCCCTTGGCTGGCATTACAGCCTTTATTGACTCCTCCTGCTTTAGTATGGTACATATTGAAATACAGTGGACCCCCGCCTTACGAACACATCGCATTTCGTTAAATTCGCCATACGAAGCATTTGAACTCAAAAATTTTGCCTCGCCTTACGTGATTCGTCCGGGACGCGCCCCACGTGCAGCCTCAGCTGCCCCGTGGGTGCCAGTGTTTACAAGCCAGCCAGTGCGGCCGCATCTAAGCATACATTCGGTACATTTCATATTATCACAGTGTTTTTAGTGCTTGTAACTGCAAAATAAGTCACCATGGTCCCCAAGAAAGCTTCTAGTGCCAACCCTGTGGTAAAAAGGGTGAAAATTACTATGGAAATGAAGAAAGAGATAATTGCTAAGTACGAAAGAGGAGTGCGTGTCTCGGAGCTGGCCAGGTTGTATACCAAACCCCAATCAACCATCGCTACTATCTTGGCCAACAAAACAGCAATCAAGGAAGCTGTTCTTGCAAAAGGTGCAAGTTTGTTTTTGAAACAGAGATCGCAAGTGATAGAAGATGTTGAAAGACTGTTATTGGTGTGGATAAACGAAAAACAGATTGCAGGAGATAGCATCTCTCAAGCGATCATATATGAAAAGGCTAGGAAGTTGCATTAGAAAAATGCCTGCAACTAGTGGTGATGTGAGTGAATTTTAAAGGGCAGCAAAGGTTGGTTTGAGAGATTTAAGAATCATAGTGGCATACATAGTGTGATAAGGCATGGTGAGGATGCCAGTTCGGTCCAAAAAGCGGCTGAAAAATTGTGAAGGAATTCAAGGAGTACATAGACAGTGAAGAATTTAAACCCGAACAAGTGTTTAATTGCGACGAAACAGGCCTGCTTTGGAAGAAAATGCCAAGCAGGACCTACATTACTCAGGAGGAAAAGGCACTCCCAGAACAGAAGCCTATGAAAGACAGGCTTACTCTTTTGATGTGTGCTAATGCTAGTGGTGATTGCCAAGTGAAGCCTTTATTGGTGTATCACTCTGAAACTCCCAGAGCGTTCAGGCAAAACAATGTCCTCAAGGCTAATTTGTGTGTGATGTGGAGGGAAAACAGTAAGGCATGGGTCACTAGGGACTTTGTCTATGACTGGTTACACCATGCATTTGCCCCCACTTGAAAAATTACCTAATGGAAAAGAAATTGGACCTTAAGTGCCTCCTGGTATTAGACAATGCTCCTGGTCATCCTTCAGACTTGGCAGAGCGACTTTCTGGGGACATGAGCTTCATTAAGGTCAAGTTTTTGTCTCCTAATACCACTCCTCTCCTGCAGCCCATGGACCAGCAGGTCATTTCAAACTTCAAAAAACTCTACACAAAAGCTATTTCAAACTTCAAAAAACTCTACACAAAAGCTATGTTTCAAAAGTGCTTTGAAGTGACCTCAGACACTCGACTGACTCTAAGAGAGTTCTGGAAATATCACTTTAGTATCCTCAGTTGTGTAAACCTTATAGGTAAGGCTTGGGAGGGAGTGACTAAGAGGACCTTGAACTCTGCTTGGAAGAAACTGTGGCCACAATATGTAGAAGAAAGGGATTGAGAAGCATATCCCAGTTGTGGAATCCACTGTGGCATTGGGGAAGTCCTTGGGGTTGGAGGTTAGTGGGGAGGATGTGGAAGATTTGGTGGAGGAGGACAATGAAGAACTAACCACTGATGAGCTGCAAGATCATCTTCAACAGCATGAGGCCAGACCTGAGGAAACTGCTTCAGAGGAGGGGAGAGAGAAATTGAGAAAGTTGCCTATTTCAAAGATCAAGGAAATGTGTGCAAAGTGGGTTGAACTGCAAACCTTTACGGAAGAAAATCACCCTGAAACAGCTACTGCAAGCCGTGTTGGCAACCTGTACAATGACAATGTTATGGCCCATTTTAGGAAAGTCTTAAAGGAACGGGAGGTACAGAGCTCTATGGACAGATTTGTTATGTGACAGAGGTCCAGTGACTCTCAAGCTGGTCCTAGTGGCATTAAAAGAAGAAGGGAAGTAACCCCAGAAAAGAACTTGCTACCTCAAGTCCTAATGGAAGGGGATTCCCCTTCTCAAAAATAACTTCCACACTCTCCCCTCCTCTCATCCCATCAATCATCACCAGATCTTCAATAAAGGTAAGTGTCATGTATTCTATTCTTAGTAGAGTAGTAATTGTGCATGTCTTCTTCAGTTTGTGTGTATAAAATTAATATTTCATGTGGTAAAAAAAATTTTTTTTTTTCATACTTTGGGGTGTCAGGAACGGATTAATTTGATTTCCATTATTTCTAATGGGGAAAATTAATTCGGCTAACGATAATTTCGGCTAGGATGAGCTCTCAGGAACGGATTAATATCATAAGGCGGGGGTCCATTGTACATACTACACTGATACTGCCTCACTAACTCCACTACCAGCATACCTCGCTCGTGTTTTTCTATGATTTCATGCTTTAACCCGTAAACGGTCCAAACGTATATATACGTTTTTTCAACATTTGAATGTAATAAAAGTAGATCTTTTTGTTTTTTACATTAGAAAATGTGTAAAAAAACGTAAGATCTACTTTTTGTAGCACTACACATGTGAACGTAGATCTGCTTGGACCGTTTATGGGTTAATTCAATAGACATCATCCTCTTCTTCTCAGCACTGTCCTTTGCACTTACTTTCTTAGGACCCATGGTTAGAAAAAAGAAATTTGGCAAAATAACTGCACAAAATGCAAGCACAACACAAGAGCGATGCTTCCACAGTGAAGTAAACACGTGCACTGCTGAGGGGATGTTGTGGCGTTCACTGCATCAACTAGTGGTGGCATATCTGAAGCTCGCTTGTAACTTGGATTTTGGATTGTAACTCGGAGCAAAAAATCAACAGAGTGACAGCTCGTAACTCGAAAAACTCGTACGTTGGAGCACTCGTAAGTCAATGTACCACTGTACATCATATTTAACTGAGCATGATGCCTAGATCATGTACAGCTGTATATAGAGTCCTCATAGGTATCTAACTGAGGAAAACCACAACAAGAAATGGCGAGTGTCATTGCTATGATTTACATACTATTATTTTTGTAACATAATCTTTCTTTTTAAAATTCCTTCTAGACTTTTCACGATCATTTACCTCAGAAGTCCCGCATGGTCTCCAGCCTCTATCAAGCTGAAATTTTTGTGTTCCACTATGTTAACAACTAATTAAAAAAAAAAAAATTTAACTGGCAGTATGCTCAGTTCACATACTGAGGGTCCATGGTTTAATCTCTGGCACAGATGGATACACTGGATTTGTTTCCTTATATCTGATGCCCCTAATTATCTAGCAATAAGTAGGTACCTGGGTCACATGCCAGGGGGCATGTGACCCAGGTACCTACTTACCCAGCTGGGCTTTGGAATGGGCTGAGGTAGTATAACAGCTTTTAGCCTGTAAAACTGACATTTAAAAAAAAATGAAGAGGATGATAAATGTCGATCTGACAGTGCTATCAGTAGTCAACATCTGTGGTCCACAGCAATTAAATCTATCAGAAATACTGCCAGACCAAGAGGAAACATGATCACTACCTCCTTCAAGTGCCAGATCAACCAGGCTGTGATGGGTATGTGGGCCAGAGAGCCACCAACAGCAACATCCTGGATGAACAGGAAATCAGCAAAAAAGCCTAACCCCAAGCCAAGTTGTGAGAGTAGGAAAACTGTGGAAAGCAGTTAGTTACAGGTGCGTCAGAGATATGCTGTCAGCAGATATCAGAAAAATTGCCCAAAGAGTTGTAGAAGTCTTCAAGAGGAAGGCTTCTACACCACCATCACATGTGCTAGATCAACCAGGCTGTTTGGTGATCTGGGTCAGTGGGTTGCTAAAAGCAACAGCCTAGTTAAAAAGGCAATCAACAGGAAAGCCTAGCCTTAGTCAGGCTGCAAGAGCAAAAAAAAATAAACTGGTCACAAGTAAATCTCACAGATACACCACCTCAAAACTAAAGGTATTGTGACAATCTAAAACAACTATGGTGAAAAAACAAAATGAAGTTGATTCCAGTTCTACTGCTTTGTGCAATGACTGATTGCTATACCAGCTTACACTGTGATATTCTGTACCTGTGTATACCTGTGCTTAACTATATATCTGTTAGTTTTTGTTACATTGCCTGTATGTTTTGACATGACTTTTTTCCTAACACAGCCATTCCCATCCAGATGGGGCAACCCAAAGAAGGATATACATTCAAAATCACTCATTTTCTAGTTATTTTTCCAAATGATCTGCTGAACTGCAACACCTTTACATGCATACATTTCACAAGTAATTTTAACTAATTGGAAGTCTTTAAGCAAATATTATTTACCTTGTACTTTATACAATTATAATGTGTATGACGTACCTTTTCATTTATGCTGACATTAGAATTATCAGTGTTGTCTCTCAGTCTTAAAAGTACTTCTGCTGCTTTGGCAGCTTCAGTGTCTGGAGATATTAATGCACTTCCTTCACTTCTGTCCACCCCAGAGAACCAAACTGATGATGTATCAGTTTCGTTATTCAACACACTGCTGTCTTTTACTCTGGCTATGGGGTTACCATCAATACATTTATAATGACTTTCATGTTTTTGTGACTGATTACCTTCCTTGTTTCCATTTCCAGAAGAACAATTGTTGTTATCTGATTCAGAGATATCATTATCAATTTCTGAGACAGAGGAATCGGGGTTATCAGATATAATGTTCAATGGTGCACTGTTTAAATCACATGCCAGCTTTTTTACTTTTACTTTATACAAACACAAACTTGAGTTTTCTCTTTTATCTCCATCGTGTAACTGATTACTCGTACTTCCAAACCCCTTTTTAAGTGCACGAGTACTTCCTGCTCTGATAGGTGTAGATGTGGCTTCTGATTCTATGGGAGACCCTGGAAACTTCAAATGGCCACCATCTTGGAGAACAGGAGATGTACTGATGTTAACTGTGTTAGATGCACCTTCTAAATTTGCATAATTTATAGCTGGTAAAAGCTTTTGATCCTGAGAGATAGCATCACTATCATTGGGTGGAAAAATACAAGAGACATTTTCAGAATCAATGACACTTGGAGATTTGTACACAGATGCACAAATATCAATATCCCCTGTCTCAAAATGTGAAGTTACATCAAAATCTACTGTATCTTCTGTAGGCACTTCAGAAGGAAAGTTATTTTTTTCATCACCAAAGGCACCAAGAACACACTTGCTTGACTCCTCTTTATGCAGTTCAGTTGCAGAGTGAGGCACATCAAGAGGTAGAGGAGACAAGGGTGATGTCAGGTCATGAGGGTCTGGGGAAAGGACAGAGGTAGCTGTGTAAAATGTATCTGATGCAGGAGTTGAGTTGACTGAATTGGAAGCTGCAGCTGAATTTTCTCTTTCTCCCACCAGTGGTAGTGTTAAGCTGCAAGGAAAATAAATGATAAAATCTGAGAGAATAATTTCATTAGCATTCAATATGAATTAACCTTTAAACATGAGACACTTACACCAGAGAACCCATTTACCTTACAGAATTTTCAAACAAAAAATAAAAAAGTACAGTAATTCATCTTTTCCAAGAGCGTAACTGCAAGACATTGTCAGCTTAATATATTATCTTTCTAGGAATATACTTAAGGATATTTGAAACTCTTAAATATGCAGTACAAGCATGTTTACAGTGAAATTCTTTTCTTGTTGTAAAAATGCTCATAAAGCCTATGGAAAACATGAATCAAACATAATTCATCTCAATCCAATGGTAGCTGAAAGAATTAAGAAATTCAAGGATTTTTTTTTTTAAGCAGTTGTCAAAATGTCAGCCAGCATGAAACAATCATTCATAAAATAATCACCACAATACTATAGTACAAACACTCTTTATTTTTTAACACCAGCCATCTTCCACTAAGGCAGGGTGACCTAAAAAAAAAAGTAATTTCCACTGCTATTCACTCAATCACTGTCTTCCCAGGAGTGTGCTGACACCTCAGTATGGAAACAATCCACACATAGGAGACTGGCACTCATGACGACATTTGACATAATAGCTCAAATGATTCTCTGAAATACAACATCCTCATCCCTCCTTCAGAGTGCAGGCACTGCACTATTCACCTTCAGGACTCAAGTCCACCTAACTATTTTCCCTGACTCCCTTCATAAATGCTACTTTGTTCACACTCCAACAGCATGTCAAATCATAAAAACCATTTGCCTCCACTCATTCCTATCTAACATGCTAACAGAAGCCTACTGGATATCCAAACTCTTAACACATACTCATCTAGTGTAATATATGTTGTACATAATGTGTTGTCTTTGGTAAGTAATGAAGAAATACTGTACCAAAGATCTGTGATAAAATGTGAAGCTTTGGTACAATTTATTTTTGGAAATGAAATGAGTTGATTAATTTTATAAACTTTAACTGGGGTAAATGAATATAGAAAAAACTGACAGACAGAACCCAAAACATTATTTATCGCATGACTTTGCAGTGGTTCCTTAAAGTATTATGAAACAGGCCACAGCTTAGGGTAGAAAGTTTAATGCAAAAAGTATACCCTGGTACCTGTCTGATCACCTAGTACAATAGTACAGTAGAGAATTAGTACTCCCTTGATCACTGCATAATTTTTACCAAAATTAATAAAGATTTACTTTATCCATTGACTGGGAAATTATCTGCTTCAGATATTTTGCCAGGGAAGTGTAAAAAGAATTTACAAGTACAGTGGAACCCTGAATATCGGCTGTAATCCATTCCAGAAGGTCGGCCTATATTCAAAACGGCACAAATTCGAAGCAATATTTCCCATAAGAAGTGCAGAGGAGATACAGAGATTTTGGGAAATGTTGAGTGAGTGCATGGGGAGTTTTGAACCAAGTGAGAGAGTACTTGTGGTTGCGAATCTCGATGCTAAAGTGGGTAAAAATGTCGTGGAGGGTGCAAGGGGTAAATGAAAATGGGGAGCCTTTAATTGAGCTATGTGTAGAAAGAGGTTTGGTAATAAGTAATACATATTTTATGAAAAAGAGGATAAGTATACAAGGTATGATATAGTACATAATGAAAGTAGTTTGTTAGATTATGTATGGGTGGGTAGAAGGTTGATGGGTAGGCTTCAGAATGTACATGTTTATAGAGGGGCAACTGACATATCAGATAATTATTTAGATGTAGCTACAGTTAGAGTAAGAGGTAGACGGGACAAAAGGACAATGGCAACAGTAAATAAGAGAGAGGTGAAAGTGTATAAATTAAGGGAGGAGGAAGTTAGGATGAGATATAAGCAATTATTGGCAGAAAGGTGGGCTAATGCAAGTATGAGTAGTGGGGGGGTTGAAGAGGGTTGGGATAGTTTTAAAAATGTAGTAATAGAATGTGGGGCACAAGTTTGTGGCTATAGGAGGGTGGGTACAGGAGGAAAGAGGAGTGATTGCTGGAATGAAGTAAAGGGTGCAATAAAAGAAAAAGGAAAAAGAAGTGTTGTAAGAAGAGCAGAGAATATGGAGAGTAAATGAAAGGTGAAGAGAATGGTGAGAGTATGAAAGGAGAGTAGATGAAGGAGTGGGAGAGGCACTGACAAGATATTTTGATGAAAAGAAGAAAAAATTTTGGATTTATTTTTATTATTTTTATTATTATCACACCGGCCGATTCCCACCAAGGCAGGGTGGCCCGAAAAAGAAAAACTTTCACCATCATTCACTCCATCACTGTCTTGCCAGAAGGGTGCTTTACACTACAGTTTTTAAACTGCAACATTAACACCCCTCCTTCAGAGTGCAGGCACTGTACTTCCCATCTCCAGGACTCAAGTCCGGCCTGCCGGTTTCCCTGAATCCCTTCATAAATGTTACTTTGCTCACACTCCAACAGCACGTCAAGTATTAAAAACCATTTGTCTCCATTCACTCCTATCAAACACGCTCACGCATGCCTGCTGGAAGTCCGAGCCCCTCGCACACAAAACCTCCTTTACCCCCTCCCTCCAACCCTTCCTAGGCCGACCCCTACCCCGCCTTCCTTCCACTACAGACTGATACACTCTTGAAGTCATTCTGTTTCGCTCCATTCTCTCTACATGTCCGAACCACCTCAACAACCCTTCCTCAGCCCTCTGGACAACAGTTTTGGTAATCCCGCACCTCCTCCTAACTTCCAAACTACGAATTCTCTGCATTATATTCACACACACATTGCCCTCAACATGACATCTCCACTGCCTCCAGCCTTCTCCTCGCTGCAACATTCATCACCCACGCTTCACACCCATATAAGAGCGTTGGTAAAACTATACTCTCATAAAATTCCCCTTTGCCTCCAAGGACAAATTTCCCTTTGTCTCCACAGACTCTAATTTCACCAACTACTCTTTTTCCCTCATCAATTTATGATTCACCTCATCTTTCATAGACCCATCGCTGAAAACGTCCATCCCAAATATCGAATACTTCACCTCCTCTACTCTTCCCTCCCAATCTGATATTAATCTTTTTTCATCAACTAATCTTTTTTTATCCTCATAACCTTACTCTTTCCTGTATCACTTTAATTTTTTCTTTGCACACCCTACCAAATTATCCACCAATCTCTGCAACTTCTCTTCAGAATCTCCCAAGAGCACAGTGTCATCGCAAAAGAGCAGCTGTGCAACTCCCACTTTGTGTTGATTCTTGTCTTTAACCCCAAACGCCTCTTGCAAGACCCTCGAAATTTAAACTTCCTTACAACCCCATCTATAAATATATAAACACCAGAAAGGGAGTTTATAATGGGGGCTGGTGGTATTGGGTAGAGGTGGGAATATTTTGGGAACTTTTTAATGTCGATGATGAATGGAGGCGGTAATTTCATCATGGAAAGGAAGGTAAATATCTTTTAGGAGTAAAGGGAAGAGCAGGATGTAGGTGGGAGAGGCGCGTGAGGCATTACATAGAATGAAAGGGGTAAGCAGAAGGAATGACGGGGAAAAATCAAAACAGAAATGTTAAAAGCAGGGGGGATATAGTGTTGAGTGGTTGGTATTTTTGTTTAACCCTTAAACGGTCCAAACATATATATACGTTCTCTCGTGTAGCGCCCCAAACGTATATATACATTTTATTTTCATTCATTCAAAATTGGCGCGATAGGCCTGTTCGCCTAGACATGAGAGAATGGGTGTGCGCACTCAGTGTGGACAGTATACAAAAAATCTGGGACACCTGGGTACCACATGGTACCAGTTACATTCAGCTCCATCTTGGGTCAACATCATGGCACATCCTCGTGATTCACTCACGGCTCGTCGTATTAACACTCTACTATTCGAGGAAAGTGGCATAGATCGTGAGTTTAGTGGATTTGACACCAATGGGGCCAATAATATTCAAGGAATTAGTGAAAATGTCGATGATAACCCAGATGACCCTCAGCCCATAACCTCTGGGGTAGCCACACGTGACCCTGGGCCAATCACCTCTGGGGTAGCCAGTGTGGCCACAGCAGACCCTAGGCCAAGCACTTCTGGGGTGGCCAGTGTGGCCACACAAGACCCTGGGCCAAGCACCTCCGGAGTGGCAAGTGTTACCCATAGGAAACTTCACAAGAGGAAACTATCATTTTCCCAGTGTTTTAGTGATAGTGAAAGTGATGTAAGTGATGATGAGATTGATTTTATGCCATTCGAGGATTTGTCTAGTGATAGTGGAGTTCATTATTCACCAGTGAAGTGTACTTTTAGGAGTCGTTATCTACGTTCAGGCAGTGTGCCATATGCAATCCCCAAGGGTCATGGCAGGTCACGATCCAAAACCTCAGCCACTGATAGTGAAAGTGATCATGAAGGAGAGTATGCAGGGATGGAGGAAGTAGTGGTGGGTGGCACGGTGCCTGGACCACATGGCGCAGTGGGTGGACAGACAAAGGACCGCCCGGCATCCCCTCAACCATGTGCTGCCTCCACTCCTGTCCCTCCTCCTGCTCCCCCTCGCCCCATGCCACAGGTCCACCCTGCACCATGTGATCGTGAGTGGAACTGGACACAAAGTATATTCGTGCCACAGCCTTGTGATTTTGATGCAAGTGGAAGTGGTATCCAGCCAGAATGTCCCATAATGAGTGAGTCTACAGAGTTAGACTATTTCCAGTTGTACTTTGACGAGCCTATAATGAACTTGATAGCATCCTAGACAAACAATTATTACCGATATGTCATGGACAACATAACAGAGGCTGGAGAATCGTCACAGCTGCACAGGTGGAAGGACACAACAGTGGCTGAAATGGATTTATTCTTTGCCACTGTCATGCTTATGCCACATATCTATAAGAACAATATACGTAATTACTGGTCCACAGACCACTTCATCAGTACTCCAGTTTTCCGTGACCTCCTTCCCTGCAACAGATTCACTCTGTTGCTACGAATGTTG